GAATTACTGTAACGAGATTTTTAAATTAAATTATTTCTGGTTCTATATAACTTACGAACTAATATCATGGAATATAATGTAATAAATAAAATAAACAAAAAGAATAGTTAGAATTACTGTAACGAGATTTTTATTTATGGTTCTATATAACTTACACACTAATATCATGGAATATAATGTAAATAAAATAAACAAAAGAATAGTTAGAATGGTTAATGTTATGTTATCGAATTATTTGAAAAGGAAATATTTATCTATGCTCATGTTTTTAATTCCACTGAATTGCAGATTTTAATATGTATTAATAATTTCTTATTACTTACTCCCTAATAATTAAAATTGTATGAGTGATGTTTAAAATATAAAAAAAAAGTATGCTAAAAATTAAGAATTAACTTACTTTTTGATATTTACTTGAATTTCCTTTCACGCTAATTCCATAATAGTAACAAATGGCAGTTTTAAAGATTCCGTTAGAATTGCCTATTTCAGCTGATTTTAAGTAATGCTCAAATGCTTTGTGTTTATCCATTATAACTCCTATCCCATGATAATAACAGAAGCCAACTTGAAACATTCCATTAGAATTATTCAATTCTGCTGATTTTTTATAGTGTGCGAATGCCTCATATTTATCTTTCTTGACTCCAATTCCATGTTCATAACAATATCCAACATAATTTATTCCGTTAGAATTTCCCTTCTCTTCTGATTTTTTATACCAAATAAATGCTTGGTGGTTGTCTTTTTTAACTCCAATTCCTTGAAGATAACAATTTCCAGCCTGAATCATACCATCAGCATGTCCCTTTTCAGCAGATAAAATAGCTATTTTAAAGATTCCTTTTGAATTGCCTGCTTTAGCAGAACTTTTATAGTGTTCAAATGCTTTTTGCTCATCGGTTTCAACTCCAATTCCTAAATCATAACAAACCCCAACTTGATACATTCCGTTAGAATTTCCTGCATTTGCTGATTTTACATACCAGGTAAATGCCTTGTGTTCATTCTTTTCAACTCCAATTCTATTAATATAACATTGGCCAACTTTATACATCCCATAAGGATTATTCAATTCTGCTGATTTTTGATAGTGTGTGAATGCCTTATACAAATCCTTTTTAACGCCAATTCCATGTTCATAGCAATGACCAAGCATGAATATTCCCTTAGAATCTCCCTTATCTGCTAATTTTTGATAATCAGTAAAACTCGATTGACCTAATTTGCTAATGATATCAGCAATTTCTTCTTTATTAGACATTTTTTCTATATAAAAATGATACGAAAAAAATATGCTGAAAATAGTAGAAATAAATATTTGCTTTATAAATTACGCCATCATGCTGAATGCAGGGTAATTGTAATACTGCAGTCTCCCCCCCAAAAAAATGAACAACCAATGAAAACGCTGAATAACTCTCGCCAATCACATGATTTACATAGGGATGTTATTTGACCACTTAAGTTTTTACAGGCTGTTTTTACAGGCTGTTAAACTGGTTTGTTCAATTTTGATTTCCAAAATAAGTAATTGGACATGCAACAACTAATTGTACAAAACTAAGACTATTCAGGGCTAAGTTCGCCGCGAGTATATTTTTTCTTCTTCTTTTGAACTTGTAAACATTTCCTTGCGCTTCTTCGTGAACTGTTTTGTACGTGCTCTTCTGGCAATAAGACTTACTCCCCAATAAAGCCAATCTCTACATCAGGATGAAAACCCAGTTAACAATTCCCTTTTATATCTTCCATCTTTTATTTTAGTAAGTCTTCTGACTGTGAGCCTAGCTCCGCCTAATAAATTTCGGAGCGAAGCTGGCCGTCTACGTCAGGATGAAAGTCCCATAGACATTTTTCCGTCCTTTATTATTCTAAAAATAGATTACAAAACAAATAATCGGCTGCCGTTTTCATTAAGTTCTTTCGGTTTCGTTACTTATACGCTAAAGGCGTATACTCTTCGGTTGCGAATCTAGTTGTTATCTACGGTGTTACGAAATCTGATTGAGAAACGCATTGCGACCAATCAATATTTCGAGGTTGAAAAGTTTGATATATCGGAAAACATGAAACTTTGAGATGTCTTAATGGATTGGGCATACGACTCCAGTATGTTGGCTTTTCAATACTGTTCCAACATGTAATTTTCAAATAATGTCTTCACAAATCTTTCGGAATCTTCCTCCTGGGACTCAAACAAAAACAATAAAAACTTATGGAAAGAAAACTATGTTCCACCTACAGTTTTAGAGTAAACGATTATCAATTCAAAACTAATTTTCAAATAATGTCTTCACAAATCTTTCGGAATCTTCCTCTTGGGACTCAAACAAAAACAATAAAAACTTATGGAAAGAAAACTATGTTCCACCTACAGTTTTAGAGTAAACGATTATCAATTCAAAACTAATTTTCAAATAATGTATTCACAAATCTTTCGGAATCTTCCTTCTGGGACTCAAACAAAGACAATAAAAACTTATGGACAGAAAACCATATTTTTTCATTTTATATGTTTATTCCTCCTCCTTCCAAGAGTTCTAAAAGTGATGTTAACCGAAAATTCAACTTCAAGCGGCCTTAACATTATAGCACTGGAATACGAGAATATTTATTTTTAATACGTGTACTAATGCTAATTATCTTCATCCCACAACCTTTTACACGAAGAATTTGAATATTTTTAAATTACTGATCCATTAAAAATACAATATTTTGTGAAAATTTCCTTCACGCAGACAAAATGTAAAATTTTTAATAAATAAAATTTACACCATTATCCTTAAAATTAAAATGTAAATTATTATGATAGTATTAAAAAAATGCTAAAAAAATGCACCCCAAAAATTTTTGAAAATTTCAAGCTCCAATCGCGACATTTATTTATTAAATATCAGATCATAAATGAATTTTGACTCGAATTATTTAATTAATAAAGGTGATTTTAATTAATATTCACAACTTTACAGTTATTTCGATTGTTGATATTTTATAGGAGATACAATGGTTATTGCGCGTGAATTTTGAAGTATGCTAGTATATGATGAGCCGCGTATGGTAGTAGATGATTCGCGTATTTTGATAGTTTTAAGAATTTCATCCACAATTCCATCCTGATGAAAAATAAGTTAGAGTAAAGGTCAAATTGTTATAAGGTAAAGACATTCTTTATTTTATATATTACTCGAAGATATGCCCAAAGTTTTTCAATCAGGTTATGAATATGGTCTTGGAAACCTTTACTTTTTCGATATGGAACTGCTAGAGAACACCACAAATTTACGACATATACCAGGGGAAAAGGCTTATTTAAAACGTATATATCCAGAGTGGTTCCTAATCAATATTGGTACATTTCATGAGCTTGTAATCTGAACTTTAAAAATTTTGTGAAAAAATATTCCTACCATGTGTGTGTACTCTAAAAACTTGCATGGTTTGAATTAGAGTTGGCCCCGAAACCACGTGATGCTAATTTGTCACATGCTATAACTTATAAAAATCGACGATCTATTTTGATTTTTTATAAGTAATAGCATGTGACAAATTAGCATCACGTGGTTTCGGGGCCAACTCTAGTTTGAATGATATTATATATCTCTTTGTTAATCATCCCACTGCAAAATTTAAGAATTCTTGAAATACGAAGATCAAGGATATCTTTCATGCATCGGAAAAGCTTGCATTTATCCTTATAACACTTATCAAGAAGAGGCTCAAAAGGTTTTCCAGAAAATTCTCCCACAATTACCTCCCATTTTTCTTTTTTCCAATAATCTTGCCACGTGACGTTAAAATCAACTTTATGGCCTGGCCTTTCTTCCTGCATTTAAATGAATTTATTATTAATCACATTCTATAAATTAAATTTGATTATTACTCACATCAGTTTTTTTAACAACGTTCATACGTGCTTTGGAAGCAATTGAATGATGTTCAGCCCTAAAATTAATCTTTAAAGTTAAGTACTATAATATTATAGTTGTTGCATTTTTTATTTTATTTTATTTTTGGTATACATACCAAGAAATTTTTATATTAGGAACAGAATCTAATAATGGTTCAAGAAAAATTGATAATACTTTAACTGTCCACGTGTTTCATTAATAGATGTGTCAAAAGGCTCGATTATTTCATAATTAAGGATTCGGGAACTATTTAAACATAATTGTTAGTAAAGTAAGTATGTAAAAATCATTTTATAAGTAACATACAATCCTCTAATAACGCATTTAATATATGGCATTAATCCTGTTATTTTTTTGAAAGCACTTTCACTCTTGTCAGAGATAGTGGTAGTATTTGAATTTCTGATATTAGTGCTGATATTGGTGCTCGTGATGGTATTATCAGTATTGTCAGTATTGTCGGTATTGTCGGTATTGTCGGTATTATCAGTATTAGTATTGATAGCTTCAACCACTGATGTAGTAATTGTCAAAGCCTCAAGCATAGTATTGAAATTAATACATTCTATTGGTTGTATGACCTCATTGTCGATTAAAAAATGAATTTGTTTAACTTGCGAAGGTGTTAATATAAACAAAGGAATCTTCTGTGTTTCATTCAGGAAATTAATATCTTCTATAGATAAGATTGTTTTTGGATTTCTGTAGATAAAACATTAGTAATAAATATTAGTTATGCGAAAAAGGAAAATAATTATGATTTAAATATCAGGATTACATGTTTTTGATTTTCCAATGATTCCCAATTTTTGGATTTTTGTTCCAATACATCATCTACATTCATAATAAATCTATGAGATCAGTAAAATTTGCATGCCTAAAAAATCTTGCGCTTCAGGCAGCCTGACCAAAATTTCTTGACTTCGTTTGAGAATTTGTCTTCCTATCGCATATTACATTCAATAAGCATTGTTTGTAAATCAAGCTTATGAAGTATAGGCAGAACAAAAATAAAATAAAAGGAATTCTAGAATTGACACCGAAAAAAAAAAGCTAGGCTCGCCGACTTTTCAGAGACTGACAAGCTAAGCGATAAAAGTAGACAAATTAAAGTAGAACGCTATACTTGACAACTTTTTAGGAACTGTCAAGCAAGCAACTAAATTAAAAAAACAAACCAAAAAAAGTAGCTCAACTGACAAGCTAAGTGATAAAAATAACAAAATTAAAGTAGCATGCTATACTTGACGACTTTTTAGGGACTGGCAAGCAAGCAACTAAATTAAAAAAAAAAAAAGGTAGACTCGCCGACTTTTCAGGGACTGACGAGCTAAATGATAAAAATAACAAAATTAAGTAGAACGCTATGCTTGACAAAGCATGTAATCAAATTAAAAGCTCGTCGACTTTTCAGGGACTGACAAGCTAGCAATAAAAATAAAAAAAAATCCAAAATTTAAATAATATAAGGAAGATTATATTTGTAACACCATGTTATACAACACCTTATCGTTATCGTTATACGTGAATGGGGAATTTATTGCAAATTAAATGACAACTTGAATTATGAAGATGACGATTTTAATTTAAATGCTTATTGGAAAGAAAAAATCAGATATTTGCCTAATTTATCACGAATAGCTTTAGTTTATATTTGGCTTCCAGTTTCACGTGTCGATGTCGAACGAAGCTTTTCTGTTTATAAAAATATTCTTACAGGTAGACGGCAGGCTCTTTCAGAAAACTCAATTAATATTTTGAACTTCATGTATTTTAATAAAATTGAATAAATATACTAGTTATTTTAGCGAAAATATTGATTTTTATTGTTCTGAAGATTTTTTATTTTCCTTTTACTTTTCCGGTAAGTTTAGATGTTATGAACCCTATAATAATAATTGCAAATATAGCAACAATTACATGATTATAGATTGTAATATAGAATGTTAAATCACTGGTATGGCCCTCCAAAGTCTGAAATTTATTTCTAAATTCCTTAATTTCTGAAGTTAAATCACTGGT